CCTACAACAATAGTATTTCTTCCCACTAATGGCCCCTTCAAGGACACTCCCTGCTGACTACCCCGTCTCCATTATTCCAAACAACAGATACCAGTCCTGACAGCCTACAGATGAATAAACAAGGTGGGGGCGAGTCCTCCAGGCCTGGGCTCCTGGTTCCCACACAGAGGCAAAACCACAGTCCTAACAAACTTCAGCTATCTTGTTTCCGCAAAGCTGCCAACAAAGGAGCCTGGCAGAGAGGGCCTGCAGGCTTTTGCCTCAGCAGACCTAGGGTTCTAGTCCCATTTCTTGCAAATCTCATCCCACGCTGAGCCTCGGTCACTGAGCCTCGGTCACCACATCATGTGGGGTGACTAAGCCCTCCCCCACTGGGCTGTTGGGCCCTGGTGCAAACCCACCCCAACAATGCAGGGCACACAAGGGCTGATGTAAAGACTTGGTAAATGGCCAGGGTGGGTGTGGAGGACCCTGTCAATCAACAAGGGGCCACTAAGGCCACTCTGGACCCAAGACTAGGAAAGGGACAGCAGGAGCACTCTGGCCTCCCGGCAACCTGAAAATATTGCTGGAGGCCTGGGTTGCCCTTGTGGAGCCTGCTAATTGGGGTCTCTGGGTCACCAGCTTCCCAGCCTTGGAGGAGGAGAGGCTCCCCCTCCCCCAACCTTCCTTGTTCTCCCCCTCCTTCCTCTGACTAGGCTGCTGGGGACTGGCCTGCCCTGTAGGTGTTGCAAGGCTCAAAGGAAACTCAGTGGGCATGAGTGATGGGGGTTAGGGAAGGAGGAAGACGTCCAGGAGCCAAAGCCCACTTGGGTCCTGATGGGCAGGTCAGAGGGCTGCAGTAGAGATCCATCTGCCTCCAGCTCCTTAGAGTGACTTCGGCTAGGTCTTCCCAGAGGGTTACATGTCAAAGGGGTTCCCTGTATTGCCTCTTTCTTCCCTTCCTTCTTCACCAGCCACCAGCCCACCATCAACCCACTTCCTTAGAACTCCAGCCCAGACCCTCGGAGCCATGCTACCAAGAGCTGCACGTGTTACTTCAACTCTTTGACTGTTGCTTCATCTGGGAACCGGGCGTCCCAGGCTGCCCCAGAGGCTGGGTGAGTCGTGGTGAAGTCATGTATAGGCAGCTGGCCGAATGCCTGGACACCTAGAAACTCACACCACAGCCTCCTGAACTCCTGTCGTCAGGTTTGGATGGGGTGGGGGATTCGAGTGGGCGATGCTTACTCTGAGAACCAGGGTGGGAAGGTCCTGGTCCCTTTAAACACGAGGGCCCTCGCGCCCCTCTCCAAAGAGCAAGCCCAGCCCTTGGTCAGGCGGTGGGGCAGAGGAACCGGCGCCGGATGCTCACCATGCACTTGCGATCATCGATGCCCGTCAGATCCTCCTCGAACTCCTTGCCCACCTCGAAGTCCATGATGTAGTTCCGAAAAGTGCTCAGCGTGCGGATGATCATGTGGTCGCCCTCCTGCACGATCTCTTTGTCTGGCTTGAGTAAGTTGGCGATTTTGCGCAAGGCCACATTGACATCTGCAGGGGTGCGGGGGCAGGGAGGGGCAAAGCATTGGCAGGAAAACTCAGAGAGTTCCGTCCCCAGGGGAGCGAGGCCCCAGGAGCTAGCTCTGCTCGGGAACAGTAAGGGGTTCTCCTTGGGCTCTGGCGCCGTCGCCGCGCGCAAACTGTACTTTATTTTGACAACAAAGTTTTCTGTCCTGTGGTTTGTTTCAGAACAAAAAACGAGCACACCAAGCCCAGCTTTACTAATGAAATTACACGCCCAGAAGCACCCAGCAGACGTTTGCCATAAATGAGCCCTAACAGCCCCGGATCGTCCAGTTCGCAGCCTGCTGGCCGCCCTGGAGCATGGCCCAGGACCGCGTTCCGGGCGCCCAGGCGGAGGCAGGCGGGCGGCGGCTCGGGAGGACCCGGAGCTGGGCGCGGGGGCAGAGCGCGGCGGCCGCGGCTTACCGAGCGCACGCAGGTACTCCTCGAAATTGTCGTTGGCCAGCATCTTCCAGTACCCGGTGAAGTCGACTGGCATTTCGGGGAGTGTCTGGGGTTGGTCAGTCACGGACCGGCGGGACTGGCTAGAGGCTCTGCC